GCAGACGGATGGAGCAGAGCAGGCCCAGTCTTGTCAAACAGGTAGAAATGCATCAATCGTATGGAAATATTTCACTAAAGATGAATCTTCTGGTTCAACTACCGTAAGGAAACAGAAAATGAATCAACTTCCTGACTGTTTGGAGCTCGTTGCAAACCGATGTTGTACCATATTCTGTGACCACTGTATATTGTGACTGTAGGGGGTGGTGTTGCAGGTCACAGAATATGGTGTAACACCGGGTCCAGTCGACTGAACCAGAACCAGCTTCCTCCGACCTTGTTTCACAAACAAAAAGCAGAAAGTATTCATCTCTAAACCTATTTAAAAAAAACCTATAAACATATTAATCTCTAAAACTAAACCTAGTGCTGCACGTTTCTTTCACTTTTGCAGCTTAATAATAATAACTAATAATTGTGTTTTTCCTGTGACTTATTTGCAGTATGATAAATGGTAGGAGCATAATATATGCCCCCAATGTTTTGTTGAACTTTTTTTGTAAATAATTACCTTTTTTGCGGTTCCATCCATTTTCTTTACCCGCTTCTTCCATTTTGGGTCACGGGGGTCGCCGGTGCCCATGTACAGCAATCACTGTGCGAGGGGCAGGGTACACCCTGGACGGGTCGCAAGTCCATCACAGGGACACATAGAGACAAACGAGACAAACAACCATACACTCTCTCACTCACACCTAGGGACAATTTAGAGTTACCAATCAGCCTAACATGCATGTTTTTGGTCTGTGGGAGGAAACCGGAGTACCCGGAGTAAACCCACGCATGCACAGAGAGAACATGCAAACTCCACCCAGAAAGGCCCCTGGACCGGGGTTTGAACTGGGAACCTGCTCGCTGAGAGGCACAGCTTTACCAGTTGCGCCACCGTGCTGCCCCTTTTTTGCGGTTTTATTCATTTATTTATTTTTGTATCGTTAAATCCTATGATGTCATCAAGTACTCGAGCTCTACTCGAGTTTTATTATGTTAATGTCGAGTTTAAAATTTATGTAGTCGTTCAACCCTAGACCCAACAAATTAACAATAATTACAGGTTCAAACACCCCCCCCCACCCAACATTTTTAATTAATCTTTGACTGCTTATATAGTTATTAATGGTCAGTGGACGAGTGCGGCTGAATAAAAGGGGAAGAAGATCAGAGCTGAGGGGGGGTTTGTCCTTTCATGGCCGTCAAAGTGCATTAAATCCCTGCTCTTGCTTGCATTCTGTATTATTCAGACACGGACACTGCTCTGACATGTCTGCTTTGGGATCTCACCTGTTTGGGTCATTGGCCGCGCACGTCCGCTGAGTGCAGCGGCTGAATGAACAGCATTTGGGCTGATGGATCGCTGCCTGGCCACACTGGTAGTCCCATCTGAAGCTTAACTGAACTTTTTACCTCTTTCAAGGCCAGTCAGCGCGCGGTCAAATGGTCGCATGCGGCTGGTGATCGTATGGCAAATCATGTTGCCATATCATTGGAAGTATAGAAAACCATATTGCCATATAATTGGATCGTCAACCATGCGTGTCCGCTGACGCAATCAAAATCCCAACACCAACCTGGCCCGCCCATCCAGCACATTATTATGGCCCGGCCCAGCCCATATTCGGGCCAGGTTAGAAATGACAGCTCTAGCAGGAGAGCCTCACTGGGCAGAGTGAAATTGTGGTTTCTCTCCTGTGACCAGCCTATTGAAAAGTGGTAAAAAAAAAAAAAAAAAGTCAGATGGATCCTCAATGAGCTGTCCAAAAAAAAGCCTGTTTGAAAATCTGTGATGCATGTCGAGGACAGGGCCAACTGCAGATATTTAATAAAATTTAAAATCTCAACCAATTCATCAGCCAATCCAGACTTGTGTTGTCGTTTATTTTACTGGTCTGGGGATTCTAAGAGCTGTACAAGTCAGTCTGCCCAACGACAGCACACAAATATTCTGACTGAATAGTTTTATCTTGCAGTCCACAGTGCAGCAATCAGGCAGAAAACACAGAAACAAGCTTGTGTTAAATTATATCAGACAGTCAAATCATGGATTGGTTTTGTTTAGTTTATAAAAGTGATCATAACAAAACTTTTAATTTTTTTTTCTACAACTATGTACTTGCCGCCGTACACATCACATCGCCGTAAAACCCGCATCAGTCCAAATATGTCTAATAAAGTGGAAAAAAATCATAAATAAGTATTTTCGCTGAATAAGTCACATCTATTGTGCATCACCGCTGACGCATCTTGTTTGTTACGCGTCACCAATGACAACCCGGAAATGTGGGCCGTTGTTGTGGCAAAAATCGATTGGCTGCCAAATGGTGGCCGTGGTAACATGCACGGGAGGACTTTAACATGAATTTAACAAGATTAACACTTAAAAACAATTATTTGTTTACTCGAAATTATAGTAAAGGTGTGTCTCAGTTGAACTTTTCATTAATAAATGCACTTTGAGGATCAAATCAGAGTACATTTCAAAAGCTGAATCGCAGCTGCGGGAGCGCGCAGAGGGACAACTCGCTGTGCATTTCTTCAAAATTTATCAATATAATTACCTAAAAACAATCATTTGTTTGCTCAAAATTATAGTAAATGTGTGTCTCAGATGAACTACGATTTAATGGTCAAATCAGCTGCATTTCGCCTGGGCGGTGCGGCAAAATGCAGCTGATTTGACGTTTGCTCCAGGAATTCTGGAGCAAGATGAAAGTGGCTTTTATGGCAAGCCAAGTGTCTCATTAATAGCCACTTTTAACTACTAATGAGACACTTAGCTTGCCATATTAGTTGAGGGCCCTCTAGTGGCTGAAAATGGTAGTGTTCTGCTGTGGCTGAGTGGTTAGTCACCCTCCAGTGCAAGAGTTGGGGGTTTGAATCCACCAGCAGTCACATGCCGAAGTGTCCCTGGGCAAGACACTGAACCCCCTCATAGCCTCTGATGTGTGTCCCATTGGTGTATGAATGTGATAAAACTCTGATTAGTCTCTTTAGAATGATTTGCTCAATTAGTTTTGTATAGATCTAGTAGAGTGCTGTATGAACGGGTAAATGAGGACACAGATTGTTGTAAAGTGCTGTGAGTATCTTGAAAGAAGATAGAAAGGCGTTATATAAGTACAGTCCATTTAACATTCAATATTTTCCAAGTCAGAATGAATGAAATCGTCATATCACAGCCAAAAATTTTATAAATATGGAAAAAAAACATAAATACATCTAATTGGTTTATAAGTCGCAGGCATGCTAATTTATGCCAACAACTGTGACTTACACAGCGAAAATCACGGTTGTCTGGGCATTTACTGAACAATGTGACGATCTTTCCCCATTGGTTGTTTTTTCCTCATGACACACTTTTTGCTCTTACTCCACCAAAGAAATGGTGTCATTTGCATTTCTCACCTGTGGATGCACACACACACCACAAAGGGACTCACATCAGTGTGTGTGAGAGCTTAGTGTTTGCACACCAGCAAGATGCTGACACTGTTGCTCAGGATGGGGTGTTCTCTTACTCACGAGTGAGGGCAGATGCACAGGATCTTAATGACGGCTCAAAGAGCCACGCTGAGTAAATCGATGCTGGGTGCGTCGACACATGAAGAATTGAGGAGTTAATCGGTCAGACGTCTCTAATGGCCCGACATAGGAATGAAAACTAAAAATAAATTAGTGGAAAGAAAACCTTAGTCTGTTTCTATCTGCAGAGGCTCGTGGTATCGATTAGCCCGAGGCACTTAAAGTCTGATGCACTGTCAACACTGCAGTCGTCTGAGAGCGCGAGAACGGCCCGGCGTCCATCGGACGTCAGCCAAAATAACAAACTGTGGTAAATGTGGATAAAACTCTGTCTCGGCTGGCTGCTCATTTGACGTCTGATGCAGGTGCAGCTTTATCATACCGACTGGTAACACACCCGGTTCTTTAGAGCACAGGGTTTCTCTCTGTGGGAACCATTTTAGCTGACTGTAATTACTGCTGAAAATCCCAACATGACTTTATTGCACACTGGGGGTGGTGGGGTGGGGTGGTGTATAGATGTAATAAAGGAGTAACGAAGAAGGAGAGAGCTTCATTCACTTTAATGCTTGATGCATTGAAATGTCTTATGGGTATAATTGAATCAAACAGCATTTATTATTAATCTGGTCATAATTTAACGCTTGTTATTTTTTCTTTGCATTGACAGTTTACATTGTGCTTGAAGGTAAACCTTCTGTCTGTGTTAGTTAAATGACTTTTTAATTTTTTTTTTACATCTATCGAGGCTTTGGATTTTTAAAATGGGTTTAAAGTCTCTCACATTTATTTTACAGATGAGAAACAAAAGTAAAATGTTTAAGTTGGCTAATTCAACACTAAAACTGGTTAAGTATAATGATAGGGGGTTTAGAAGTTTCTTGATTTTTATTGATTTATTATGAAAAACAAACAAGGTTATTTGTTTCAAATGTTTATTTTATCTTTTTTCTTTTTTTCAAACCAACAGCACCTGAAATCTCTAGCCCTGGCAAATACCCCAACACACTGAGGATAAATCAGTAAGAGACAAAAGAAATTATTGAGGGCTGTAGTTGATAAAATACAAAAAAATATATATATATCATGATAAAACCAGGACAGGAGGTAATGAAAAAAAGTCACGCATACACTTTAATTTACAGTATGTTCACTCACACACACTCACACACATTAGCAGAAATATGCATACATAGTTTAATTGCAAAAAAAATAAAAATAAAAATAGAAGATAGTATAAACATGCTGACAGTATTCAGTATTCAGTATTCAGGTCTGAATTGTAAATGAGTCCCTGAGGCTCAATGGGATTAACCTGTCTAAATAAAGGTTGGATTAACACAATTGCAAAAATGCATCTCTGTAGTTTTGTTCCTCACAGGACTTTGGACCCTGTAGCTGTAATTTCCCAGGTCCACTCTTCTTAATGCTCCAGAAGTAACAGTCTGTAAGTCATTTAATTCTCCATTGTCTCCACAGGTCATCTTTGAAGCGACTGTTTCCAGTGATCGGCAGGGATACATCGCCTTGGACGACACTGTGCTGCTCAATTACCCCTGCTGTAAGTACCCAATTCTGCACCGCTCATAGCCTACTTGTTGACCTTTACTGCTTTACTGGGCCAGAGTCCGGCTGAACGGTGGGGGCCGAGGCACTGAAACTCAGCAGAGGTGATTGAAGACTGTGAGGCACTTGTGCTGACGTGCTTGCTACGTGTCTGCAGCAGCTCGGCAGGAGGCGTCTCTTTTGTCCCAGCTGAACGGCTGACCTTTTCAGCTGATTGCTATGTTTCCAGCTGGGTACTTTTAAAACTAATGGGATGTTACAGGCAGGAAGGAGGACAGCTCGTGGTTCCACTAAGACCCTGTCTCTGGGATATTTTACATTTTCTTTTGGCATCACAAAGTTATGAAGAGGTTAGGGTTTTGTTGTGTGGGCTAGGATGAATTTTTCAACATAATCAGATTAATGGCGACTAGCTGGCAAACAGTATTTGCCAAAAAAAAGTTGCATCATTAGCTAAAGATTCCTATTGTCCTCACCTAAAGCACACAGGCCTCAGTCTTAAACATAATAATAATAATAATGTCATCACAATGTCAGCACTGTATGTTTCCATACAATGGCGAAATTATTCTCTGCATTTAACCCATCCACCACCAGGTGGTGCAGTGGGCAGCTATTGAAAGCGCCCGGGGGACATTTTGGGGATGAGACGTGCTGCCCAGAGACGCCACGTGATGTGCAGTGACTGGGGATCGAACCTGGGACTTTCGGGTCCCAAGCCGGCTGCCCTGCCTCTACACCATCTCGGCCCCATGTTCTCACAATGAAGTGGAGAGTGACTCAGCGGGTGCACAGCTGAGTCACTTTTCAGGACAAAACTGAGCTGTGCACCTACACCTCAAGGATAAGGGTCATTCTTTTGAGGAGCTAAATGTTTGTAAAGAATGTAGATTACAGAAAATACAGATACTGTGAAAGGGAGTGAAGGAAGCCGTTTACATCAAATGAGAATTGACCCCAGTAAACATTGGAGTAGGTCTCAGAGTTCAGATTTCTAAAGACCTACAGCGCAGCATTTAAGGTTGTTTCATACTCCACCAGAAGCTGAGAAATTATCTCTCATTGACCTAGTTGACAAAAATTGAGTCATTTTGTTCTGGTAGTAGCTTCATCTGCCCATTTTCGACACACGGTCTGGGCCGAACGTTTTATGACGGGTATGTGTAAATGATTGGTCAGAAGTAAGTTTCATTCAAGCTTTATTTATACAAGTAAATCCCATTGAGCCTCGGGGACTCATTTACAAGAGAGACCTGATTATAACAAAGAATGATGACAACAGGGGACAATCATAAAGGATGCATACAAATACAAATATTTTTGAACAAGTGAAAATAAAATGGTAATTAAAAGGAAAAGTAGCAAAAATCAGTTAGGTTGCAAAACGGTGTAGGAAACTAAAAACAGGAACATGTCTGCATTGGTTCTTGCCAGGAACTTAACAGATGTTTAAAGTCACTTAGAGAGGTCAAGGTCAAGAGCTTCAGATCTCTTTGCAAGATATTCCAGGAAACAGGAGCTGAGTAGGAGAAGGCCCTTAATCTATACCACATTTTCCCCCCATAAGTCACACATGTCCAAATATGTCTAATAATTTGGAAAAATCCATAAATACATGGCTTTGCCGTATTAGTCGCACATATCATGCGTCACCGCTGATGTGTCGCATTTGTTACGTCACTGCTGACAACCCGGAAATGTGGGCCGGTGTTGTGCCTAAAATCGCTTTGTTGCTAAAATGACAGCTGCTTGGGAGGACTTTAACCAGATTAACACTTATAATAAATTATTTGTTTGCTCAACATTATAGTAAAGGTGTGTCTCAGTTGAACTATTCCTTGAAAAAATGTAATGGTCAAACATAGCAGGTGGCTTTAACATTACACGTCCACACAGCCATAAATAATAACAGCAACACCAGTTTATTTTATTTGTTTTATTTGTTTTTTCCATTCAAATCCTTCAAATTCTTTGTCCTCGGTGTCACTGACAAAGACTTCTGCCAATCCTGAGGGAGGTGAAGTGGAGCCTCGACCTCCTCTTCCTCCCCGCGGCTGTCAGAGTCCACCTCCGCGTCAGCTCCAGCTCCAGCTCCAGCTGATATTCCAGCCTTCCTGAACCCCGACTGGATTGTCTCTTTACTCAATGAGGTCCACGCTTTGTCAATCCAACCGAGGACCCATTGGAATGTGGCATGGCCCATCCGTCTGGTGGAGGTGAAGCTGTGGTCTCCGCTCACCATCCACTCCTCCCACAGGTGACGCAGGGCAGCTTTAAAGCTCCGGTTAACAGAGATTTTGAGAGGCTGGAGGATTTTTGTTAATCCTCCAGGGATAAGAGCAGGTAGGAGTTGCAGGTTTTTATTTTCTCTTTAAACTGGGTCGTAATGTGTGTGTGCATACTGTCCATGATGAGCAGGGCTTTGTGTGTCTTAAAAAATCCGTCGGGCCATTTGGTGTAGCATTTGGACAGCCACACACCCATCATCTCCTGGTCCATCCACCCCTTGTGATTTACGTCCACCACTACCCACGGGGGGAACTCCACTTTCTGGCATCGTTTTTCTTTTTAAAATGGTAGTCGTCAGAAGCCTAGAGTGCTAGAACACCCTATAGCCCCTCTAGTGGCCGAAAGGGGTAATGTTCATGTCAGAATGAATGTTGTCAGAAGCCTGGAGAGCTAGAGCGCCCTCTAGCACCTCTAAGAAAAAAAAAAAAAGATGTCTTCATTTGTGAAGATAGAATTGCAAATTGCCATTTGAATAAAGGTGCTAATAATATGAGTCTCCCCCCGTCATTGTCAAAATGGTTGATCGTTGAAATTTTGAGATTTGGTGACGCACAAGAAGGTCTGGGCATTGATGCATAACTTCTTGATCCCAGATAAGAAAATGTAGTCCATGTTGTCCTGGATGGCTTCCTGCATGTTTTTCCCTCTGCTGCGGTCATCACCTTGTCATGGTAATCACAGTGGATAGAAACTGTATTAAATCTTTTAGTGGCAATAACTCCTTGTCCCTTGTCATTATGAAAATCTCTGATTGACAGACCACTTCTGCTCTGTGACCAACTTCATCATTTGTTGGTCACTCTCCACAGTTTTTGGGTCATCCATTTTGCCACAAAGTCCTCTGGGCAGGCATGGTTGGCATTTCACCCCTCCTTGGTGATGTCCTCTAAAACCTTGTGTGGGCAAGGGGGAAGCCTTGTGGATTTATATAAATGATTGGTCAGAAGTTTGTGGGCCTGTTTGTTTATATGGAAAAGCACTCGGACCGTAATGTTATCATTTCGCTTCAATTACTCCACTGCTAGCAACACAGACACCTTTGAGGAGCTGTTGGCTGAATCACTCAAAAAATACATCCATTGATATGACTCATCAATAATGTGTTATGTGTTGTCATCATTGTATGTTCCCATACAATGGCAAAATTGACTCCCTGCATTTAACCCATCCACCCCCAGGTGGAGCAGTGGGCAACTATTGAAAGTGCCCGGGGAGCAATTTGGTGATAGGGTGTGCTGCTCAGAGACACCACGAGATGTGCAATGACTGGGGATCGAACATGGGACTTTCGAGTCCCGAGTTGGCTGCCCTGCCTCTACCCCATCTCAGCCCCCGTCCACGTTCAGATCTCTAAAAGTGTGCATCCATTGGTACAACTCATCAAGACACACTTATAAAGATAGTCAAATGACCAACAACTCCTGGATGATGATTGCACAGAGATTATACTCGGAGGAGTCTGCCGAAAAGTTTGGCACTCTTTTTTGATTGATTTGTGGCCAAAAAGCAGATACAGGGATGTTGTGGAAACCCTGGCAGGAAAAAGCTCATGTTGTTACATATACTGCAGTAGGAGAGGTTTTCCTGGAGCTCAGCACCATGTATCTTGTGGGCTATGAAAGTTGTGTGCAAAAATGAATGTCTCGCAACCACGTGACTGCACGTCGACTCTTCAGCTTCAGGTGTGGTAAGACACGATCTTAAGCCTGATTACCAGTCAGTTTCAATATAATTCTCACCTTCATACATGTGACCAAAGTGTCTCTTGTGAGCCAGACAACAAATACCCTAATGACCAGTAGGAGTGAATTTAATGTGCATGTGCATCTAGGTAACATAACTGTGCTTCTTATATAGTTTTAAAAGCTTGGCACTCCACACACTCCAGGTTTTTGAACTGATAATGTCTCCTGGGTGGGAAGAGAAATGTATTCAACCACAGAATAAAAGTCCAGTTATTTATTTTTATGTTTTTACTTTTATATTTTTATATTTAACATGTCCTAGAAAAATCTACACCAGCTTAGTAGGAATACAGTGGCTAAAAGCTAAAATAAGCAAAACAGTATATAAAAGCTAAAAACATCACAACTGCAGCTAAAAGTTAAAATATGCAAATGCTTAGGCACTAATTAAAATTGACTAAATGCAATTAAAATTTTAAATAAGCAAAACAGTTACTGACAGTTTAAATCAACTGTTTTTTTATTACTTAAAACATTAAAAATGTTGCCAAAAGCTAAAATGAGCAAAACTGTAGCTAAATGCTAAATTCAGCAAAAACAAGATCAAAGTTAAGAAAATATAGAACTTTATTGATCCTGCAGGAAATTGTTGTGCCAGAGTTTCATTACAAAAGGAGCATACCCAAGGAATAACATAAGATATCTAAAAAAAAAAAAAAAAACTGAAAAAAACAAACAAACAGAGACTAAAACAAAATAGTACCTCGCTACTTGGCGGTTCGTTTATCAAGGACTCGCTCTATTGCAGTTTTTCAAAATAAGATTGGACATAACACAATTGGCTGATTGAGCCAACACTGAAGGATAAGCTTCCTCCCACAGCTAAACAGCAGATCTCCGTGAAGAGCGGAGGAGTGGGCGTGGCTGAAAACGCTTGCAGGTGGCTGAGAGCAGCGGAGGCAGAGAGCTGAAATCATGACATTCTGTGCTCTTTTAGAGAGTTTAGAAACATTAGAATATT